GTTGCTACCAATGTCCTGCTCAGCTTCCTGATTCATTTATACAAATATTTATAGTCTGCCTGTTTCCCAAAGGACTCAAGGTTCTTTATTACGCCCCAGAGTGAAAATCCAACAAATAAAGGCCATCAAGAACCGAACAGATGGAGCCTAGTACCATCTGTTCCCAAGTGCTCTATGGAACAAGAATGTTTTAAAGGCCTTCTTAACAACCGAGAGGGAGGGCATTCCTTCTCTTGGGGACAGGTGCCGAGAAGGTGCATTGTGAGGTTCACCTTCTGTGGAAAGACTCAGCACTCTTTCTCTGAATTCACCCAATTCACTCCTTCAACTTTGGGAGGACAATCTTAAAGGGTGGACAGCTCTGGGGGTGCAGGTATCTTGTCCTTATGACATTTAGGTTTGAAAAGAAAACTCAGCAGGTAGACTTCTGCTGGCAAACAGGTGGGTGCCCATTGTAGGAGGAGAGCCGTGTTAGCCGATGGCAGTGTTTCTCAACCTTGACAACTAAGACGTGTGGACTTCAACTCCCAGAATTCCCCAGCCAGCAAAGGTTGAGAAACACTGGTCTACGGTAACCCAAAATCAGAACGAGTTTGGTAACACCTTTTCCAATTAACAAATTTTATTAGAAGCAGAAGTTTTTGGGAGCTGCAACTCCCAAAAACTTATGCTTTTTAAACAAATGTGTTAGTCTGAAAAAGTGCTACCAGACTTCTTCGGATGAACACAGTGTGGTTCCCAGAAGGCTAGTCAGATTGTGTATAATGGTTACGGCTGGACTGGGAGGAGAAAAGAAGCCTGGGGGATTTGGAATCAGGCACTATCTCTTAGTCCAGACTACCTCGCAGGACTGTTTTCGTGAGGAAAACCTGGAAGAGGGAATGTTATATATATGATTTTGAGTTCTAAGAGGGAACATGGGATATAGATACAGTATAAGAAAAGAACAAATAAACAATACAAATTAATCTATTTCATGTATTATGGTAACGAACGGGGATGAACTTATAATTGATCCATTTTCTGAGTAGTCTTCCAGGGCAATTGCCAAAGCAGAAATAAATTGGAAAGCCTTTTAGTCCATTAAATTAAGTTTCCTTGATAAATCAAACTAAGTCATCATCAAAATACAGGATTATATTTTATCTTTTCCTGGCCCAAGGCAAGCTTTGAAGTATATCTCACAGAACAGTTGTGAACATAAAATGGGAGGATAACCATGTATTCTGGCCTCTACGACTATGGAAGAAAACAAAAATAA